AGATCTAACTTTCCAAGCCTCTACAATGACGACTGTTGTGCGGATGTAGCGAGCTACAAGGTGAAAGGTCAAATGTATTATTATAATAATAAAAAAAGAAGCGCTAAACCAAGGTCAAATGTAACTACAGGTTTACAGAGAATTTTGGAGAAAGTACACGAAGGATCTCTGCCAACATTAACAGTTCAAAGGAGGTCACCGCCCTTGCAGCCTGGTCCCAGACCATGCTGGAAGGGCTGTTAGTGCCCACCGCCCGCAGTCCAACGTACAGGAGTTCCCCGCGTTACAGCGCTTCGCTTTACAGCGTTATGCTAATGAAGCAGTTTTCAATTATACTCATTTTTCATTTATTCAGATATCCCACAATAAATATAGTCACTAAGCTAAGGATGAAAACATTTTAAGGTAAATAATGTATGCGTTGTATATGCATTTTTAGGTCCAGCTTTATTGCTCGCTTAATATATGATAGTGTAAATTTTATCAGACTTTTATATTCATTTGAAAGTAAAAAAAGTGTTTCACTTCACAGCAGCTCACCTGCTGTATAAGCGGGGCCCTCCTGTATTATAATAATGGGGGAGCGCTAAACCCGTAATATTACAGCGCCTGGAAGGGGGGGGGGAAGATGGAAGGTATTCAGGCTCAATTCAGGGAACCGGAGCACAGATACAATTCCTTAGATCAAGAGCCCCTCACCAGCGTCAAGGAACCTCCCTGAGGGGGGTACAAGGCCCTCCTGTATATTTATGGGAAAGTGCTAAACCAGTAGGGACCATGGAGCGACTGGGAAATGGGATGCAATTATATTTGATCCATGGAAAGGCAGATCCAATCACACCGGGACATTGCCTGGAAATTATACACTGGTCTAGGTATGTCACCTTTTTTTTTATATCTATACCCTGATGGAAGGGGTCAAAAAGGCTCTTGATCCAAATATTTGGAGTTACCCTCCCTTTCCTCGGATCAAAACCGCTTACCTCCCATTCCCCAAGCTTTCACTCCTATGGGTCTAGCGCCACCATAAATTTAATAATAACTACAACAAACGGATGGATAATTATATATCGGTGGGTCTTGAGTTGTGGTCCATCTCCGGGTACTTTGTGGAGACGGCCTGTTATCATGTACGACATTTCACCTACAAAAGGATTTATTGAGTGACACTTCATAATAAATAAAAAGTCGACTTTTGAACTACAAGTTTCCTTCTATCAGCCTCAGATACTTGCCACTGACTTCTATCAGCCTCAGATACTTGCCACTGACTTCTATCAGCCTCAGATACTTGCCACTGACTTCTATCAGCCTCAGATACTTGCCACTGACTTCTATCAGCCTCAGATACTTGCCACTGACTTCTATCAGCCTCAGATACTTGCCACTGACTTCTACCAGCCTCAGATACTTGCCACTGACTTCTACCAGCCTCAGATACTTGCCACTGACTTCTACCAGCCTCAGATACTTGCCACTGACTTCTACCAGCCTCAGATACTTGCCACTGACTTCTACCAGCCTCAGATACTTGCCACTGACTTCTATCAGCCTCAGATACTTGCCACTGACTTCTATCAGCCTCAGATACTTGCCACTGACTTCTTATTTACCTCCGAAGTACTGCCACTGACTTCTATCAGCTACACAGATACATGCACTGACTTAATCAGCCCAGATATTGCCATTGACTTCTTCAGTCAGATACTGCCACGACTATTATTTACCTCCGAAGTACTGAAATGTACAGTGTACACATGGAAAACTGGAATTAATGAAGGCGATATAAATAGCGTGTTGAAAATATTTCATCACAACGGGACTCGCAGCAATCTATTAAACTAGGACAAATTTAGATTTAGAAAGAATATCGGGAAGTACTAGTTTGACAAGAGGTGTGGATGACAAACCCAGGTTTCGCCAAGCGAGTCGTGGATAATTATTATTCTCATCATAATCATGGGGAAGCGCTAAACCAGGAGGATTATACAGCGCCTGTGGAGGGAACTGGAGCACAGATCCAATTCCCTAGATCAAGAGCCCCTCACCAGCGTCAAGGAACCTCCCTTGAGGGGAGAGTCGTGGATGAGTGAAACACTCCCAGGTAGCATCAAGGGAGTCGTGAATGAGTGGAACGAGTATACGAGTGGGTATGAGTTATACTTGCCTAAAATGGGCCAACTAACCTACTCTTGTTCTCCCTCATTCTATTATTATTATAGTATAGCTTGTCAATGCAAGTTCGAAGTGACGTTCAATATGGCTGAGGTAGACTAGGCACGTGACTGCAAAACCTCAACATCCTCCTCTAACTCCGTGTGTGTAACTCGTCTTTAATATTTCATACCAGCGAACAATAAATCTGACAATATATGTCGGCCCCCTTTACGTGCATTGTGTACATTAATCAACATGGCGGTCAGTTTAGCTAAACTACAACACATACTAAACAAGATTGATGGGGACCACACAGTCAAACGTGTGACGGTGGTGGGACCACAGCCTAGCACGTCGGTGGTGGGGACCACACAGCCTAGCACGACGGTGGTGGGGACCACACAGCCTAGCACGACGGTGGTGGGGACCACACAGCCTAGCACGACGGTGGTGGGGACCACACAGCCTAGCACGACGGTGGTGGGGACCACACAGCCTAGCACGACGGTGGTGGGGACCACACAGCCTAGCACGACGGTGGTGGGGACCACACAGCCTAGCACGACGGTGGTGGGGACCACACAGCCTAGCACGTCGGTGGTGGGGACCACACAGCCTAGCACGACGGTGGTGGGGACCACACAGCCTAGCACGACGGTGGTGGGGACCACACAGCCTAGCACGACGGTGGTGGGGACCACACACCCTAGCACGACGGTGGTGGGGACCACACACCCTAGCACGACGGTGGTGGGGACCACACACCCTAGCACGACGGTGGTGGGGACCACACACCCTAGCACGACGGTGGTGGGGACCACACACCCTAGCACGACGGTGGTGGGGACCACACACCCTAGCACGACGGTGGTGGGGACCACACACCCTAGCACGACGGTGGTGGGGACCACACACCCTAGCACGACGGTGGTGGGGACCACACACCCTACCACGACGGTGGTGGGGACCACACAGCCTAGCAAGCCGGTGGTGGGGACCACACAGCCTAGCAAGCCGGTGGTGGGGACCACACAGCCTAGCAAGCCGGTGGTGGCACCACACAGCCTAGCAAGCCTAGCAAGTCGGTGGTGGCACCACACAGCCTAGCAAGTCGGTGGTGGCACCACAGCCTAGCAAATCGGTGGTGGCACCACACAGCCTAGCAAGTCGGTGGTGGCACCACACAGCCTAGCAAGTCGGTGGTGGCACCACACAGCCTAGCAGTCGGTGCACCACACAGCCTAGCAAGTCGGTGGCACCACACAGCCTAGCAAGTCGGTGGTGGCACCACACAGCCTAGCAAGTCGGTGGTGGCACCACACAGCCTAGCAAGTCGGTGGTGGCACCACACAGCCTAGCAAGTCGGTGGTGGCACCACACATCTTAAACATGACGTTCAATGGTAAAAAAAAAAAAAAAAAAAAAGTTCCAGCTGCTTATATGTTAAGAATAAAGAACTCAAAAATATTACTTTACCAAACCCAGAAAGATCATCAAATAGCACGAAAGCAACACGCGAAAGATCTGGGAGCAATTATGTCGACTGACCTTTCTTCCAAAGAACACACTAAGGCAAACGTCACGACAGCCAGTAAAATGGCAGAGTGGGTATTGAGATATTTCAAAATGGAATTAGTGTCAATGGTTACACTATTCAAATCACTTGTGCTTTCTCGTTTAGAGTTGTTCAGTGTTGATGACCCCGTTCAGGGAACAGGGTAATATAGAGCTGGACCAGATACAGAAATCATTTACGGCCCAAAGAGCCATTAAAACACACCTCAAAATCTTAAATATGTATTCAATGAAGCAGAGGAGAGATGCATGATAATATATACCAGGAAAGTACGTGAAGGTCTAGTAAATCTGCACAGCCATAACATACTGGAGTGAAAGATGTGGAAGTGTAAAATAAACCCAGTGAGTAGGGGCGCCGTGGGCACAATAAGAGATCACTTTATCAACATCTGTGGCCCCAGACTATTCAACATGTTATCAGAAGGTAACAAAATTACTGCAGGGACAATTGTGGAAATCTTAGGAGAAAACCGGAAATTCATCTCTATAAAGGGCCAGATCCAACAGGCTGTCATGGATATCTGGGCCAGTGGGCACCGAAGAGCAACAGCCTGAATAGCAATAATGGTAGAATTACCGACGAAATGTTCGGTAAAAGGACACAGATGCAACTATGTGATATTTCACTAGCAACGTTTCGCTCTCCAGGAGCGACTGGAGAGCAAAACATTGCAACAATACGTCACATTAGTTACATGTGTCCTTTCCTAACAACCTGGTTGACCAGGCACGCCACAGACGAGCCTGGCCCAATTCCGGGTTCCGGGAGTAGAAAAACTCTCGAAACTCAAAAAATCAAAGGTATAAAGCCAAATTGTGGTGAGGTAAATTTAAGATTTAGAAATATATAAGAAAAAAAATATTGGTTTGACTTTGACACTAATTGTAGATAAGTGGAACAGCCTCCCCAGCAAGTTATTGAAGCCCGAGCCTTGGGTAGCTTTAAAAATGGGTTTGACAGGTAGACGAGTGGGTGTGGTTGGGAGAGTTGGACGTGCCTAGCATAAACCAGTAGGTCTACTGCTGTGCTCCACTGTGCTTATGATCTTAACAGTGGTCCCACTGCCTGACATTATGGCAGTGGGTCCATACTGCTTACCATATGTTAACGGTAATATGACCAGAAGGCTGACATTTGTATGGCATACTTACCTCAAAGTTAACCCGATTTAATGGTAGACTGACACCTCAGAGTTTAACAAGTATTTATTAACAACACTGTCAAAAGTGTAGGCATAGTGTTATGTAGTAGGAAAAGTACCCACCTGGTGCAGCGACCCCATGGACGGCACACAAGTGTGGGGATGGTGGGTGAGGGTGATGGCAGTACTCAGGGGGAGGCCCAGGGTAATACGCCTCCCCGGTGTAGTATTCTGGGTGGCAATATGGGGGTGGCGGCCCCTGGGCCATGGGTGGGGGCGTGTACTGCTGGTGATGGTGGTGGTGTTGCTGCTGTTGGTGTCCGCCCCCGTCCACACTGTTTGCACTGCTGTTGCTCTGAGTGCCGTTAGCTGAGGGGCTACTGCTGTTGCTGCTGCTGGCCCCGTTGGTGGTCTGCTGTGGCTGCTGTGATGGCTGTGTGGCCCGTGGAGGCACCCCGCCGCCCCCACCAGACACAAGCTGCTGCTGGTGCATCATGTCAACGGCGTGGGCGTGAGAGGTCCCGTCCATGTAATAGGTCGGTCCTGGCCCAGCCACCATCGTCGTCAACATAGAGCCTTGGTCTGTGCTCTCACAGGCCTACAACAAAGCTACTGGCACCGCAGGCTCAACAATAGGCGTGCGTGGGTGAGAGATTTAAGGCACTTGGGTGAGAGGGGCGTCTCCTGTGTTAAATAGGCCCGCTAGACACGTCTGTTTCAAGATGATAGTAGTACTACTTTAAAACACTGGCTGTTATTATTTATCTATCATCATACATGCACCTGTGCCTTCTCACACATACCATAATGACACTTATCCCCCCCCCTAACAATACTAGACTTCGCACTCTCACTACAAATCAAACATCGAGGATAGAGGCATGAAGGCTAGCAAGCCACGTACACCCACCCTCAAGCAACGTATCGCACCAACTGTTCCTAGAACGTTCGCCGACGCACGAACATACCAACCTTGCCAAATGTCGCCCCATAATATTTCTTTCCGGCAATCTAAGCCAGCTGGCTCATATCTTTATATCCAGTATAGATGAGTCTTTTACACTTACTCATCCCAGGGATATATAAAAGGAAAGTGTTACTCCTAGGGCACATGGCAGAACAAAACAAGGGTCTAGGATGACCTTCATCTGGCATCAGTGGTTGGTGCTACCATCTACCGGCGCCAACCGAAAGCTCCCTCGGTTGTAGAGTAGGCCTGAATAAATAGTAGTTTATCATTTGAATACATCACCTTCAATACTGTTCCGGGTAAGCTGCCTCTTCGTAAAAATAAGCAGGCTAATACTATCCCCTGACAGACCACAGAATCAATTCTTACCTTTTAAACTGAAAATACTGGCCACTCTAATGGGAGTGGCCAGTTTGTCTGACTTTTTGGGTTATTCTGGTAATTTACACTACGTATGACAATTGTACTTATGTGTACCTGTGCCTAAATAAACTAACTTACCCTACAATATAATGTTATGGACATTTAGCGGGGCACTAAAAAAATATCCGAATTTTTAATTCTCGGATTTCCGCTTAATGACACTTTTTTCACATATATATATATATATATATATATATATATATATATATATATATATATATATATATATATATATATATATATATATATATATATATATAATTTTAAACAAGCGCCATTGTGGCAGTCTCATAGTATCACTGTATAATAAAATAACCGATTCAGACGAGGAAGTAAACTTCTGTCTGGGACACATCGGTTCCAGATGGGCAACAACTCTCACTTTAAAGGGGACAGACATAACGTGAAATTTTGGCTGGAAACAGTTTGTCACTACCACTGACCTACTTCATACACGCGGGCGGGAACTCCTCCACATACACATGATGTATATACCCAGTAAGGTGTGTGTATAGTATATACCGTGAAGTGTGTATATACACTGCGAGATGCATCTTAGTCTATATACACTCTGAGGTATCTGTATATACACTGTGAGGTCTCTATGTATGTATGTATGTATGTATGTATGTATATATATATATATGTCGTGCCGAATATGTAAAACTGGTCAGTTAGCAAGAACTCACTTAAAATTAAGTCCTTTCTAAAATTTTCTCTTATACGTTTAAAGATATATTTTTTTCGTTAATGTTAATGTAAAAACTTTTAATTTTGCACCAAAAGAATCTTAGAAAACTTACCTAACCTTATTATAACAAGAACAATTAATTTTAGCCTAACCCAACTAAATACGTTTTAAATATGTTTACAATAATTTAGTACTAACAAACACAATCAAATATATATTTTTTCGTTAGGTTCAGAATGATTTTGGCGAAATTATTGCATACACAAATTATCACTTGTCCTATATGGCAAGATGAGCGTTGCTATTTAAGCCAAGATCGCAAGTTCTGCCTATTCGGCACGACATTATATATATATATATATATTATATAATATATTATATATATATATATATATATATATATATATATATATATATAATATATAATATATATATATATATATATATATATATATATATATATATATATATATATATATATATATATATATATATATATATATATATATATATATATATATATATATATATATAATATATATATATATATATATAATATATATATATATATATATATATATATATATATATATTTTTATTTATTTTATTTATTATCACACTGGCCGATTCCCACCAAGGCAGGGTGGCCCGAAAAAGAAAAACTTTCACCATCATTCACTCCATCACTGTCTTGCCAGAAGGGTGCTTTACACTACAGTTTTTAAACTGCAACATTAACACCCCTCCTTCAGAGTGCAGGCACTGTACTTCCCATCTCCAGGACTCAAGTCCGGCCTGCCGGTTTCCCTGAACCCCTTCATAAATGTTACTTTGCTCACACTCCAACAGCACGTCAAGTATTAAAAACCATTTGTCTCCATTCACTCCTATCAAACACGCTCACGCATGCCTGCTGGAAGTCCAAGCCAAATTTTCTTATACGTATAAAGATTTTTTTTTCATTTGTTAATCTAAAAATTAATAATTTTGTACCAACAAAGAAACATAATGAAATATATTTTTTCGTTGGGTTCTGAATGATTTTTGCGAAATTATTGCATACGCAAATTTTCGCTTGCCTTACTCGGCAAAAAGTGTTGCTATTTAAGCCAAAATCGCAAGTTTTACCTATTCTGCACGACATATGTATATCACACACCAAGGGATGTATATCTCTCAATGTATGTATACCGACAAGTGTGTGTGTATATCTATCAGTGTACATACCCAAAGTTTACTTTAAGCCTAGTTTCCGGCATTAAAGTATTCTCGATGTTAGTGTACAGGGAGAGTGCAGCCTTAATGACCCACATATAGTCCATGGGCTTTAAAACTAAGAGTGGATACACACAAAATAAAACCACTTGCAATATGTTCATTGGCAAGGTGTGGGTCCTGGGACCAAGGTCGCACCACTCGTCCATTCTTACGAGGATTTCCACCATTGGTAAAAACCTTGGTAATGGATACCGACAAATTGGTATAAAAAGGCACATAAGCAACCACTAGGATATATTTATTAAAATACGTTTCGGTCCAGGGACCTTAATCACCTCTAACAGAGGTTAAAAAGACAAAGAGTGGCACATGGTGCTATTCTCCGCCTATAAGATTTTTTACCGTTTTCGACAATAATCTCAGGTGATAAACACGGCCTTCGCAGATTTCTGGCGCAACGCTTATTTCTCCTTTATCGGGATAAAAATGAACGAAAGGCCAACAGGAACAGCGTCATTGATGCAAGAAAAAGACACAGACTTAACTTGATGTGTGCAGACTGCGTACTTAAGGCACTTCATGGTTGGCTAACCTCATACTTGGCCCTGGTGGATACCATCCATAGATAAACTCACACTTCAGCTATGTAATACTAATATATATATATATATATATATATATATATATATATATATATATATATATATATATATATATATATATATATATTATATATATATATATATATATAATATATATATATATATATATATATATATATATATATATATATATATATATATATATGTCGTGCCGAATAGGCAGAACTTGCGATCTTGGCTTAAATAGCAACGCTCATCTTGCCATATAGGACAAGTGAAAATTTGTGTATGCAATAATTTCGCCAAAATCATTCTGAACCTAACGAAAAAAATATATTTCACTGTGTTTGCTTAGTATTAAATTACTGTAAGCAAATCTAAAATATATTTAGTTGGGTTAGGCTAAAATAAACTGTTCTTGTTATAATAAGGTTAGGTAAGTTTTCTAAGATTCTTTTGGTGCAAAATTAATTTTTTTTTACATTAACATTAATGAAAAAAATATATCTTTAAACGTACAAGAGAAAATTTTAGAAAGGACTTAATTTTAAATGAGTTCTTGCTAATTGACCAGTTTTACATATTCGGCACGACATATATATATATATATATATATATATATATATATATATATATATATATATATATATATATATGGCTGAAGGAGACTCGAACCTACGAACCTTGGAACAAGGTACGCAGTGCTATACCACTCACCACACTGGACCAATACCTTGGAGTCCAGCTTGCGCTAGACTTTGATCCAAGGCAGCCAGCTTTCAGGGAGAAGGTTTACAACTGCGTACCTTGTCCCAAGGTTCGTAGGTTCGAGTCTCCTTCAGCCAGAGATCAGTGTTTTTTGTATATTTCGCCTGCTCTCGCGAATTCCTTGCATATATATATATATATATTATATATATATTATATATATATATATATATATATATATATAAATATATAATGTGCCGAATAGGTAAAATTTGCTATTTTCGCTTAAATAGCAACGTTCTTCTTGCCGAATAAGGCAAGCGAAAATTTGTGTATGCAATAATTTAGCAAAAATCATCCTGAACCTAACGAAAAAAATATATTTTATTGTGTTTGTTTATTATTTATTTTTTTGTAAACTTATCTAAAATATATTTAATTGGATTAGGCTAAATTAAATTGCGCTTGTTATAATAAGGTTAGGTAAGTTTTCTAAGGCACTTTTGGTGCAAAACAAATTTTTTTTCACTACATAAATGAAAAAAAATATACCTTTAAACGTATAAGAGAATTTTTTAAAAAGGACTTAATTTTAAATGAGTTCTTGTTAATTGATCAGCTTTACCTATTCGGTACATCTCTATATATTAAATGATAAATCGTTCTTCTGAAGGCAAAAATAATACCTAAAACTCACGAAATCGTAATATCACGATATCAAACAAACCACGAAACGGGTGGGGTTTGATCCATGGCAAGTGAGTTTTAAAATTCCAGGCCGCCTGGAGTTTTAGGACTTACTCGTCATGGGTTTTAAACCCTACCTGTTCCGTGGTTTATAATAGTTCATTCTTAGTATGTCAGGCTAACAGATATAAATAACAGGGCAAAGAAAATGACATCGGAAATCATACCTATCTGAGATAAAGACACCTTCCCCTACACCCGCCATAATTACAATGTAGGTTGTTGACTTATCCAAAGGTGGCCACAGCCTCGAGCTGGTCGACTTAACAAGACTTTCACAAATCACAGACTAAACTTTCTGCAACACTGGAAGGGATTCCACTAGTCTTTGTTCCTCAGGCGTCAGGTTATTTTGTTTAATGGTTGGGGTGTAGGCTCCATAAGTGCTGATACGCTTGAATTTTGGGTGGATCTCTGAGATTACCCTCCTACTCCGCTGCCTTTTGAAATGATAATGATGGCTTCCTGGCCGCGTCTCTAGACCCCCGCCGGCCACAGGCTTAAAAATATATGTAATCTATGTCACTTAATATCGCTCCCTAAGGCAGTGATCTGATGTAGTATCCTCCGACAATTTTGGATATTCA